TTCTCGTCAGTATACACAGAGGAAGATTCTTGAAGAAAGCCAAAAAGAATCTTGTCCAGAAACGCATCAAGGGGAAACGTTGAAGTCTTCTGCAAGCCCTGGAAGAAATATCCCTTCTCAGCCTATGGAGATGGCAGGACCTCTTTCATCACCGTCACATTCAGTAAAAATTGAGAAATCATATGACAGAGCTGGTATGTCTTGATTTAATGATCAACGTCAGTTTGTTGTTTTTTCTCTTCTTACTCAAACTTCTTTAAGCACTGTAATTTCTAAGAGAACTTGCTGCTTTATTCGCGATGCATCATTTCCTTATGCATCTTTGACCTGGATCCAGGTAAAGTTGAGAACAGTGAATCCGAGGAAGAAGGCACTCGTCACTTCATGGTGAACGTCATTGAGCCACAGTTTAATCTTCACTCTGAAGAAGCTAATGTAAGTAATTATTGCCTTAGAAGAATGCACAGTCGACACCATTACCTACTTTTAGGGTCTTGATTGTTTGATTCTATTTAGTTGGCCTTCAAACCTCTAGACGCATATACTAGAGTCTCGTGATGGTATATTATTTGGACAAGCTGCATGATGAATGTAGTAACCACCAAAATTGACTTGTTAAATCGAATTTTCTTACTGGTTGATCAATGTCACTTTGATGGATACCAGGGACGCTTTCTGCTTGCTGCTGTTAGTGGCCGTGTTCTAGCACGATCGTTTAATTCCATCATGCGTGTTGGTGTGGAAGTGATTGAGCAGGCTCTAGGCACTGGAAGTATCCAGATTCCAGAATGTAGTCCTGAAATGACATGGACACGGATGGAAATTTCTGTAATGTTAGAGCATGTGCAGGCTCATGTTGCTCCGACTGATGTTGACCCCGGTGCTGGATTGCAGTGGCTCCCAAAAATTCGTAAAAACTCGCCGAAGGTGAAACGTACTGGGGCTTTACTTGAAAGAGTCTTCATGCCTTGTGACATGTACTTTAGGTATACAAGACACAAAGGTGGAAATCCTGATTTAAAGGTAATCCCATTTCTAATAGTTAAAATTTCTTTATAATGTGTTAACTTTCGTTTCAGAATCTTTACAGAACCTAATTTTGGGCCCTTGTAGGTGAAACCACTAAAAGAACTCACTTTCAATTCACACAATATAACGGCTACGATGACTTCTCGGCAGTTCCAGGTTATGCTGGATGTTCTGACTAATCTTCTCTTTGCAAGGCTTCCAAAGTGAGTATTGAAACCTGAATAAAAGTTAAAGGGGATACCACCTACAGATTTGTTGTCCGTTTTCAAAATAAGTCCATTACTCAAGTAACTAGCTTAAAATAAAACATAAGTGCTTTTCAAAAATCCATACCAATATAATTCACCAATGACTAGTGCTTCCTCAAATACCTTTTTGTCTCTATTTAATTTTTGAAGTTTTCTTGCATTAAGAAGGCTAATCCTTTACTGATTCAGGCCTCGGAAAAGTAGTCTCCAATGTCCCACTGAAGATGAAGACGTTGAAGAGGAGGCTGATGAGGTAGTTCCATATGGAGTTGAAGAAGTAGAGCTAGCAAAAATCAACCTTGAAGAGAAAGAGCGAGCACGAAAGTTGCTTCTTGATGATACTAGAAAATTGTCTCATCATTGTTCCGACAGTATGGATGACGCACACATGGAAAGGGAAGGTGAACTGTGGATGATTAGTACCAGAAAATCAGCACTGGTAAGACTTTACTGAAGGAAGTATGTTTCGATGCTATATTATGATGATAGTGTGAAGTAACCTCCGTTTTAGAGATTTTCCGATAGCCATTAAACTCTGTTTTTTTTTTTTAACATTATGCAACTATTCAGCTAAAAACTTTGTGTTTTTCCCTAGTGTCATCCTTCTGTTTGTCTCCTGTTGATATCCTTGAAAATAGTTCTGTGAAATTAGTCGTTGTGACAATATAAAGTTGATGTTGCATTTGGTTTGGTTTAGGTGCAAGGATTAAAGAAAGAGCTCTTATATGCACAGAAGTCTAGAAAAGTGGCTTCTGCATCTTTAAGAATGGCGATGCAGAAGGCTGCACAGTTGCGACTGATGGAGAAAGAAAAGAACAAAAGTCCATCATATGCTATGTGCATTTCCTTGCAATTCAATAAGGTTGTTTGGAGCATGATTGTAGACGGTAAATCCTTTGCTGAAGCAGAGATTAATGACATGGTAAGTTTATGCATATGCATATCATGTTTTATTATTTACCATCACTCTTTAGAATGTAAAATGACGAGAGTTACTTGATGAGCAGCTTGTTTAGAATCTTTCTTCAATCTACTTATAGCTCATTTCGGACTTGGCATAGTCTATGGCAGTGTACGTAGTCTGTTGCAATAAATTAAGAATCAGTACATATTTAACTGGATTTATACATGCAGATTTATGACTTTTATCGGGATTACAAAGACATTGGTGTTGCTCGATTCACCACTAAGTCCTTTGTTTTGAGGAACTGTCTGCCTCATGCAAAGTCGGATATGCTTTTATCAGCGTGGAATCCTCCAAGCGATTGGGGAAAGTACGTTTTCTCTTTGGTTGATTATCATATCACATGCTTTGCAAGGCATTTTATTTCTGAATGATGGTTTCTTAGTTGCACTGGGGAAGGTTTTGATGGGTTAAGATAAATTAATGGAACCCTAGGTATATGGAACTTACCACCGTAAACTCAAACTTCAGTAATTATAATTTGACGCTGGTTCTGACTTTGAAAGTGTGCTTTCTCTCTCTTACCACATATGTTTGAAGAGACTAAAAGGATTCGAACTTTGTATCAGTTCAGATAAGTGAAATTCATTAGAAGTGACCTTTAATTTTATTTGCAGGAATTTCATGCTTCATGTTGATGCAAAGCAAGGAGCGCCAAAAGATGGACACTATCCTCTTGAGCTTTTCCATGTATGTATCTTTTTCTCTTTCCGTTACTAGTGGATTTGGTTATAGTGAGCCAACGTAGCCGTTCTAATTAGCATTCTACATCTTATAATTGAATTATGTTTGCTTACCTTGTTAGTTTTGAAATTTGTATGATAATACCTGAAAATCTTTTAGGTGGCGATTTACCCCCTGAGGATTCATTTGACAGAAACAATGTACAGAATGATGTGGGAGTATTTCTTCCCAGAGGAAGAGCAGGATTCTCAGAGGCGACAGGTCACAATGAAACTTTTTATTAATCATTGTTAAAATTTGTATTGAATTTGTTGTTTTGGTTTACTTTCTCTCCTGCAGGAAGTGTGGAAAATTTCGACAACAGCTGGCTCAAAACGTGTAAAGAAAGGGTTAGCAGGTCATGAATCTTCTACAACTAGTCACTCCACTGTTGAAGCATCTCGGGGGAGTTCTGCAGCGCTCTCTGTTTCTGCCGCAGCGCTGTCACAAAGCAATGCTGACTCTGTTCAAGTAGGCTATATCACCTTAGCCTGCACTTAAAAAAGTATTTTGCATGAATTTTCACCATTCTTTTCTGATTTTACTTGCATTCTATTTGCAGAAATCAAATACTCTAAGCCTCAGGTCTAGCACTGGTGGTTTTGGTCAGGAGTTGAGAAGAACATCTTCTTTCGATAGGACCTGGGAAGAAAACGTGGCACAGTCAGTAGCTAATGAACTCGTTCTACAAGCTCATTCCTGCACCGTGCCATCTTCCGTTGAACAACTGGAGGATTCCTCTAAACAGAAGCCCAAAGAGACAAAACCTGTCAAACCTGGCCGCTCTTCTCATGAAGAAAAGAAAGCTGGAAAGTCACATGAGGAGAAGAAATCTAGGCCGAGAAAGATGATGGAGTTTCACAACATCAAAATAAGCCAGGTAACTTGGCTAATTTCTACAACTTAATTAAGGTCGGATTATTGATTTGGTTTAGTCGATTTCATCTTTCAGGTGGAGCTTCAAGTGACCTATGAGGGCTCAAGATTTGTTGTAAATGACCTCAAGTTGTTGATGGATACATTTGACCGTGTTGAGTTCACTGGGACTTGGAGAAGACTGTTTTCTCGTGTTAAGAAACACATCATTTGGGGAGTACTGAAGTCTGTTACAGGAATGCAGGTCAGATATATAATCATAGATTAGGTTGTGAGGTTAAAAGATAAGTAAAGCTATAATACAAATCAAAAAATTTCAGGGGAAGAAATTCAAAGACAAATCACAGATTAACCGTGGGCCTGCTGAGAATGACCTTAATCTAAGTGACAATGATCAAACGGGGAAACAAGTCACGTTGTTTAAGCGTCAAAGTGATGGAGCTGGGGAGAGATTTGTCACTTCTGTTAAAGGACTATTCAACACGCAAAGGCGCAAGGCCAAAGCATTTGTGTTGAGAACTATGAGAGGTGAAGCAGAGAACGATTTCCACGGGGAGTGGAGTGACAGCGATGCTGAATTCTCTCCTTTTGCTCGGCAATTAACTATTACGAAAACTAAGAAACTTATCAGACGCCACACTAAGAAATTACGTCCAAGATCTCAAAGAGGTGAGAAGCACAGTTCGCTATGTAACATCATTAAAACTTGTTCTTTATTCGTTGGACTACGCATTCTAACTTATTTTCTTCTGCTTAGGCTCGACTTCTCAGCAAAGAGAATCACTTCCATCATCATCGAGAGAGGCCACTGCATTTGAGAGTGATTGTTCAAGTGGATCTTCACCGTACGAAGATTTTCAGGATTAAGATCCTTCTTCTTGGCCGAGGTAGGAAGGATAGAGTTCTCAGCTTCCGAGGAGTCGTCCTTGTAAATTTTGTGTTTCCCGGCTATAATAGTAGAATGAACAATATTGAGAGAGAAAGAGAGAGAGTTTAACAATATTGTACAGACGTTGGTATATTAGAAAAGAAATTAAAACCACAGGTCACGTCATCATTCTTTTCCCTCTATTCAAGGTTTACAAAACAGCCAAGTGTAGGATGCTTCATGCAATTACAATTGTCTAATAGTTACGTGTTAAAAAGCGGACAACTAGGAGAGAAAAAAAAAAAACTAAACGTTTTGTGATTGTAAGGGTTAACAGTGATGAATGAGTGGGATGTCCAAGTCGAAAACGTGTAAAATCAACACTTTAAATCAAATATAGCAAAACACTGGCAAAGGAAAAAATATAATGGGGTTACTTAGAGAACTAAATAGCATCATAATACATATATAGCACTCGTAGATCATACTCTCAGCGTTTCACTTTGGCTTGCTCTTTTCTTAACAGACTTGTACAAGGAATATACATAAGATGCAAAGCCAAGTATCCCAGCTAACAAAGCTCCACCCTTAAACCATTCAATATCATCATCCATAAACCGAAACGCCACCACAACGAGAATGTTCGCTAAAGGCGTTGCGCAGAAACTGACAACATTAGAGAAAAGAGTAGAGGCCAAACACACAAGCCCCACAAGCCCTATAGACATCACTTGCCACGCAAGTGATAACCCAATTAGAGATAAAACGTAAAGTGGTTTCCCTTGCTTAAACGTCTCATAATCTTCTTTGATGTCTCTGAATTCACCGCTTACGAATAGTCCAACCAAACATATAACCGTTGCAATCATAGAAGGGTAGGTTTGCATCAACATCACCGCCGAAACTCTACTCCCTGTCTTCGGTATGACCTTTTCAAATCCTAATTGCATGATACATAGAGATAAAGAGAAGGCAACCGTGCCAAAGAAGCCACACCACGCACCGTAACTCATTTTGTAGCCTTCACCTTCACAGGGAATATAGGCATCATCTGACGATGTAATACCTGTGGCTACTCCAGAAATTATGATGGATAATATGATCCAACGGTTGAATTTGTGTTTGTTGATAATTGCTGTAAACATGGAAGTGAAGATCAATTGTGTTGTAAAGATCCAAAAGAAGAATATGCAATGTGTTCTTCCAATTGCATAAAGTTGGCTATAAGCAGCAAAGAGGATGCCGAGAGAGATGTAAAGAAGAAAGTGTTTGCAAAAAGAAGACGAAGAGAGAGTTTCTCTATGGTTAGAAGATAAAGAACGCCATAAGAGGACAAAGAAGGCTGTCAATGGAAACGCAGCGTTTTGGATCATAGACTGAAGCCATGTGCCTTTAAATTGTTTTGGGTCGTCACAAACATCTCGTCCTGTTTGGACAAAGTAGAAGTTGATAAGAAGTATGGAGAAAATTCGTCCTGTTACGACCAAACCCGAACAGACAAAGATCCAGATCCACCAGTTACGTGTCTTGATAGTTTGTTGCCGATCAAGAGTTATTGAATTTGATGTTGCTCTTGGTTGATTCTCAGTTCCAACATTAGCTTCTTCTCCTTCTTAACAAAGCAAGAAATATATATAGCTAGTTTAATTGACTTGAAGAATTATCGTTGTCTTGTGACATAAATAATGAATGCACATACCTTGTGTAATTTGATCCGAGGATTCGGTGAGGAAACCCATCAAGTTCTTTTTTTCTATGAAATGTTAAATGAAAATTTCTCAGGACCTCTATATGGGTAGGAAGATTGCAACAACAAACGTGAAAAATAATACCATGACTTTGCATCACATAAAGTATTTTAATGATTTGTACGTACTACAATCAAACAAGCAAAGATTTAAATAAAAACAGTCAAATATATGCCAAAATGATGATCGATAACCAGCTGGACGATTACTTCAACGCGGCATGTTCTATCTATTCTATTTATTTTTAAAGATATGTTCGTAGCTACTAGCTCGTTATTGCTTCGAACGAATCCAAACAAACTATTTTAGACACGACACTCACATTAAGAAAAGGGAAATTGGGCTGTATAGCAAGAGAAAAAAAATTAATTGGCCCACTAGCTATAAACCCTAACGGACACGATCACACCGTTACTTTTATAAATTATTCCTATATTCTCCTTTATTTTCACCGGTTTCACCGGATGAAAAAAGTCTTCATTTATTCTATTGATTTCGCCTCTAACTTCGTGTCTTACCTCCACTCCACCAATTTTTTCACAGTAACTTCTCTCTGTCGAACCATCTCCCACAAAACCCTCTCTTACTCTTTCCAAACCACGATTTCCTCTTTACAAATCCGCTTCTTCTCTGCCAAATTCATCTTTTCAACAACCGAACACTTCCTCGATCTTTGTACTCGGAACAAGCGACCGCTTGCTCGATCTTCTCCGTCGTCCTCCGCACCGTCTCCATCTCCGTCGTCCTCCGCACCGTCTCCATCTCCGTCATCTCTGTCGTCCTGCGCACCTTCTCCATCTCCTCCGACACTTCAATTGAAAGCTTCCTCGATCTCCACTCCGAATCCCCAAAAATGTAAGTTCGCTCTTTCTTCCGTTCACTATCCTCTTATTGTCAAATCTATTTGTACTTTCTATTGTGAATTACTCTGTTGTGGTCATGTTGAATCTAAATTCATCCTACTAACTAACTTTGCTAAATTACTGTCTCAATTTTAAACAGAATGGAATAGAATTCTTAAATTTCCATACTTTTTGTGATTTCCTCTGTTGTTAATGGTTTTTGATGATAGATGGCGTGGGACATAAATAGTACCATTGTTTTTCTACTTAACATCGCCTTCCATACTTCTTTGCTGTGTTCTTTTTGCATGCCTCCATTGCATACTTAGTACGATGCAAGTTTGATTATAAATATCTATACCATATGGACAAGTACATCTATTCCATTCCAAGTATATAGAAAACTGTCATTTATGTTTACTCCATACTAGGTGATTTTCTCGTGCTCATGCACGGGTATAAATATTTTAAATTAAATATATAATAATAATTGATTATTATTTAATTTTAATTTTAAATTAATTTATAATTTTATGCATCATTTATATTAATAGTATTATATTACTTTACTTATACTGTAATTTTATATATGTTATATCTAGTCAATTTTGTTGTTTTACGGTTGGTTTAATTATCATTTGGACAAATTGGATTGCATCTCTGAATTCAACTGTAATATTTTTAAAATATATTAACTTTTAGTTAGTTACTTATTTGCATATGGTGGGTGTTGTCTTAGGTATGTAAATATATTTTAGGAAAATTATGTATAACTTAAGATATCTTGTGATTAGAATGAATTAAAAATTTAACTAAAGTGTCTGATTCCAAAATACCTAAATTAATATAACAAAATATTCTAAAGTCTTATGGATATATATAAATTTTACAAAAGAACTAAAATTGTAAGAGTTGGTTAGTATTTATTTTTATTTGTTAATATGTTATGAGTTATCATATGATCAATAAAAGGTTACATGCATTTATAAATTCTAAATAACTTTATGCTTTAGATTTATTGAACGTAAACTGAAACTTATTTTAAATAATCTTAAATTGAGAATTCAAATTTGCTTTGATATTTTGATTATGGTTATATTTAGTTTCACAAACATAAAACATAAAATTTAAAACATAAAATTTAAAACAATTAATATTATTAAATAAATAATTTTAATAATGATAAAATATCATATATCTAGCTCATTAGAACAATTATTTTGACCAAACGATGTTTCTTGTAATTTATTTTTAGTTTTTAATATCTCTTAAAAATAAGCACTACACAAAATTGTGATTGTATTTAAAAATAATATTATATAAGTAAAATATAAGTTCTAGATAATTTTCTTTAACTGAAAGATATTATAGTCAACTAAATATATGAAAAATAAATAAAAATTCAATAATACTAATTATAAACTATTTTATTACTCTGAAAGTATATTTTACGCTATTTAAAAATATTTTTAAATGTATTATTACTATTTTGTGAACTTTCCTTTTTTTATGAAATTATATTATATATACATTTTTATGTTATTTAAAAATATTTTTAAATGTATTATTACTATTTTGTCAACTTTCCTTTTTATGAAATCATATTATATATACATATATTTTCGTTTTAAATTTTTTTTTATGACTTTATAAAAAATGCCTTTTTATTACATATCGTTTTGGAAATTTTTGAAAAGGAAAAACTAAAAATAAAAGAATTAATTATACTATTTTCAACTATTTTTAATTCATTAAGGGTATCAATGTAATCAACCATCGTGAGCATGAACGGGAAAGCGACACATAGGAAACTGACTTCTCAAATAATATTATAGATATAGTATGAATGAATTATTATATATATACATAGGTTGTGTTTCAATCCACCTATTGTCTCCATTATTTCCTCTTCTGTCAAATGGCTTGAATATAACACTTTAGGATTCAGTTTACATAGACTTTGATACTTCTTCTTCTTCTTCCGTTTGTATACTTCTTCTTGTTCTTTTGTTTGTATATAATTTGGTTCATGGTTTATGATTTTTAGTGTTTATATTTGAGTGTATGGGTTATATTTGGTTGACGGATTACTTATTAAAGTTTTGTTTTTACTATTTACAGTTATAAGTGGGATCAAAATTAACATACAAATGTACTCATAATTTTATAATAATTCCATACCTTTGCGTACTATGTTATTTGACTATCTTCCATTCCATTTGATGTAGCGTACTATGTTATTTGAATATCTTCCATTCCATTTGATGTAGTGTTTACCTGAGGTGTTTGGTTTACATTTGGGTTGATGGTTTATATTTTGGTTTACTGTTAACCTCAAGATTTTTAGTGTTTATATTTGAGTGTATGGGTTATATATTGGTTTATATTTTGGTTAATATTTTGGTTAATATTTTTGTTTAGCTTTACGAATCCGAAACCTCATGATTTTTAGTGTTCATATTTGAGTGTATGGGTTATATTTGGTTGAAGGGTTACTTTTTAAAGTTTAGTTTTTACTGTGATCAAAATTAACATACTAAATGTACTCAGAAATTTATGATAATTCCATTCCATTGCTTACTATGTTATTTGACTATGTTCTATTCCATTTGATGTAGCTTTTACCTGAGGTTTTGGTTTACATATTGGTTGATGGTTTATATTTTCGTTTATGGTTAACTTATTTGCGGTTATGGTTTAATATTTACTGGTTCTATTATTCCATACATTTGACATTTTGGTTAATATACGTGATAGAGAACACCGGATTTATTATATATATAGTGTTTGTTTTATTGGATACATAGTCCATTCCATGTTGAATGGTTTACTCTTTTGATTGGAATGGAAAGTCTGTCAATATGTTCCATTCTGGATGGAACTGAAATTCAATAGTATGCATTCCTGGTTGTTCGATTCCACATGGATTTTTTCTGCAATATTATATGTTCGAGCTGCTTCACTTTACCATCACGTTTACTTTGATTACATCATTGTATATCTACTTTATACTAACTATCTTCCCCTCATTTTTTTTTTAGGTCTGACATGGACGATTTGGGCCTTCCAAGTAGATTGTTCGCCACAGGGTTTGAACCCACTGGAAAGAGAAGGGTAAACAACTATTTCAACCTCCGTTGGATAGAAGTGATAAAGGGTGCATTAGAAGATGAGGACCTTGCCCTGCTGAATGCTTCTCAGTTTGGTCAAGTAATGCGGATGGGGTCCCATACGTTTTCTGTTGTCTTTCTCCATTATCTGCTATCACGTCAGTTGGTGACTGCAAAAGAGTTTGAGCTGTGGTGGCTCTTTGTAGGGAAACCGATTCGCTATGCTATTCAAGACTTTGCGCTTGTAACTGGTCTCAATTGTGGGGAAATAATTGAGACAGATAACCGAGGGAAGGGTAAGGGTGTAGGAGGGAAGTGTAGCGGAAAAGGTCAGTCCTCGACTTCGTCTACGGCCATCTGGGATGTTCTTTTCCGTGGGGAGGAAAAGCCCACTACTAGCTGGGTAATGGATCGGCTTCTTAAGGGGAAAAAATACAAGGACCCTTTAACCCGTCTTCGCTTGGCATTGTTGGTTCTGGTTGACGGTATTTTGTGTCCCACCTGTGGCACAACAAATATCCGACCTGAAGTTGTCCGTATGCTCGGTAATCTGGATGAGTTCCTGGAGTATCCTTGGGGACGTGAGTCGTTTCTCCTCACCGTTAGAAGTACAAAATCACGTTCTCCCAGTAATTATGTGCTACAGAACACAATGGCAGTTCAAGGATTTGCACATGCAATGGTTCTTGTTATGCTTGCGGCGTGTCCTACGATCCTCGTTAAACCGGGTTCAGTTGGCTCCGGGTTTGATGAATGTACAAGCAGTGAAGATATTGTGCGTGATTTGGTTGATAGGAAGTTGACGGTAAACTTCGTCTCAGCCAAAGCTGTGGACCAAAAGGGGCAGGTAAAATTGTGTTTATGTTGGCCTTTTTCCAGGAACTGTTAAGGGTGGTGTACCTCTATTGCTTTATTCACATAAGACATTTGTTTACTGAAATGCAGGCATATGTACGATCTTTTATTTGTTCGGATGAACTTGGTGACGAATTGTATCGCAGTTTGAAAGACAAAGAAGACGAATCCGTTGATCAGCTGATCTCATTAATTGGTGATGAGTACGAGTTTGAGCATAACACATGGTCTGACGGTGTTAAAGAAGATGATGTGAAGGTGATTAAGAGTCATCCAGAGCTGCGAGAATCCAGTGACGGTAACGATTCTTCTGATATGGATAAGGAATATGGGAAGGAAAGAAGGGGATCAGGTGTCCGACATTCTCGAGAAGCAAGAGGCCGACCATTTAGGAGTCATGATGAGGGAGCAAATGGTGGCCAGCCTAGCTCTGCCGGTGTGGCTGATTTGGTTAGACTAGCTGCTCAGGCGTTTGAATCACAGCTACTACCTATGTTTGAGGGGTACATGGATAGTATGAAAGACCACATATTTTCGGAATTCCAAACCATGAAGAATGGAGTTTCCTCTGCGCGTGCGTCAATTGCCTCGTTAGAAACTTTTGTTAAGGCAGAGTTTGCGAATCTACAAAATCCCTACGGGAATGGTGGTATGTATGGTGAGGACCCAATTGGTGGTTACAGCGCACGAATGCCCTAACCCGGAAGACAAGGGATGGGTCATGATCAATGGCCAAGTCCAAGGGATGAAGAAGGTCGTCAGGTATGGAATGGAACATACATGTTCTCTATTACTATTCCATTTGTAGTTTCAAATTATTCTATGCTAGCCACTTCTGAAGTATTCGATATGAACAATTGGAGTTGGGTTGATCCTGTCTTTCTTACCTTTTTCCAGGGGTTTTTTTCCACTGATAAGGGATGTGCTGCTACTGGAAGTCAGACCCCAGACTACGTGTCTGAGGTACATTTATAATGCCAAACTCATCCTTGTTATTTGTCCCTTATGTACTCTCAAATAATTCTTTATGTATATGGTAGCTTACGGGGGCCCGGGATAAGTCGATTGTGAACCCCCCAGTGGCGTCCTCTGTACTCGGTGGTGAGGTAAGTTTATAACAATGGAACTTACCTTTTTCTATAGTGATTTCTTCCATTCCATATTGACATAGCACCGTGTAACCTTTCAGTAAGTTTAACCTTTAATTTTGGCATCACTTCATATTAACCAGTTACAGGAACCTGACGGAAATGTCAATGATGTGTCCACCAAGCTGGTGGTCTCTCCACTGCACACCTCGTCTGCTCCTGGAGATGGAGTTCAAAAAGTAAGAGAATCCAATTTCATCTATAAGTTGTTTTCCATACCAACTAGTGTTATTTAAATTAGAAAATATATCATTCCATACTTAATCCATTCTTTTTATTGCATGGTTCATTCAATTTAGAATACATCAATTTGTCAAATCTATCTTTTCTTTCAGTAATTTCTTATTAACATAGGACTAAATTTGACTCTGTGTCCTTCTCTATATACTCCAGGAATCCATAGCTGTTACCTCAGAAGTAGCAGACATACATACAGAAGATCCTCCTCTGTCAAATCTCGAAAGTAGCATAACCCAACCAGAGATTATGGTCTCAGCTGTTCAGCAGGTGATATTCGGGCAAGAAATTATGATCCATGTTTCCACGTTCATGTGTTTTTCGTACATGTCTCATCTTGTTTTCTCGCACAGGGACCTCCAACGTTCAGTCCTGCAGAGAATACTCATGTTGTACAGGTATAGTTCTGTTTCCATTCTATTTAGAGCAGATAACATTCCATACGTATTCCATTCTATTTAAGTTAGACAAGATGTCATTCCATACGTTTTCGATTCTATTTATTGCATGGGCCATTCCATTTAGAGTACATCTAATACAAATACATTCCCTTCTTATTCCATCAACTTGTCAAATCCATCTTTTCTTTTAGTCATTTCTCATTATCATTTGACTACATTTGGATGCATGTCCTACTCCCTATAATCTAGGAATCGACGGCTGTTACCTCAGTAGTATCAGACATACACACGGAAGCTCCTCCGGTGTCAAATGTCGAAAGTAGCACTAGCCAAGCAGAGATTGCGGTATCAGATGTTCTTCAGGTGATCTTCGGGCAACAAATTATGATCCATTTTGCACGTTCATGTGTTATTCGTACATGTCTCATGTTGTTTTCTCGCACAGGCACCTCCAACGTCCATTCCTGCAGAGAATACTAATGTTGTTGAGGTATAGTTCTGTTTTTATCTCCCCTGCTTTTGTCAAATATGTTAACGTAGATGCATTGTAGGCACCTTCCTCCGCTGATATGATAGTAAATCAATCTGACGATCTCGCGAAGGGAACGACCGGCAGCCCCACGTGTGACACAACTAAAATTGTTCCACACATTGTCTCTACCTCGGCCCAAGAGGTATAACATAAACCCAACCATAAAGCATTGAAGCATGAATAATTAACTTGATGTCTCATATGTTTATGTCCTTTTATGTATTACAGTCTACATTTCCCCAAGTAGCTTCTGAATCTACTATTGAACCCATGGTAGAAGCAGTTCAGATAAATAAATTAATAACATTCTCCATTCCATGTACAAATTTCTTACGGTTCTACATTGTAGGACAATGTTGAGGGGTCGATTGAGGGCACAGAGGCCGAGGTTGTACCGAAGCCGAAAAAAGTCCAACAAAAAAAGGTTAGATGAGCATATTGTATTATTTTGTACTATTAGATATGTGATGGCTAACACAGTTTAAACTACCTTAGACTGGACGGGGAAAAAAATCTACTGCCGTTGGTCCCATGGTGAAAGGAGGAGAGGTAAATACATTTATAATCATATTATTTGCTGTTCCTTATCTTCTAAATGTCATTAACATTGTAGGATGCTGTTGGAGGGTCGGTTGAAGCCACAGAGGAGGGAGGTATGCCTAACCCGACAGCAGTACAACAAAGAAAGGTAAGCCTAGTTTTCTGTAATATTTTTTACTACTGTTTATGTAAAGACTAACCAATTTCAATTTGTTAGAGTGGACGTCTTCAGAACTCTACTACCACCAGCCAACCTGATGGCTTCTTACGCTACAGCAAACGATCGCGTCAGAGTCCTGACAGGTAAACCCCATCTGAAGGAGGTCGTAAGCCAGAACAAGCGAAACGAACTCGGCTTAACGCAAAGGCGCAGGTCGAATGCCCTAGACAACCTACTGCAGTGTCAGAGACTACAGGTTTTGTGGGTGGTTTTACACCATTGCTCCCCCCAAATCCTACTAGACGGATTGCATTCCTCAAGGCTATGGAGCATGCTAAGTAAGTTTTAAGTACATTGTTTAATAGATTTCAAAATATAGTTTACACTGATGTAAGTCCATTCCATTCCAAATGGTTTATGAAATATATAGTATAATGCATTACCGTGCTTTTGAGATGGTATGGAGTGGGATAATAACAGTAATTATTATTGTCCAGGAATCAGCAACCCTCTGAACGTGACAGCTTTCAAATTGACACGTTAATGTCTTTCTTCGACTGCACCAAGGTGGCTTCTGAGAAGGTCTGCACCCTCTACGATATTTTTATTAATTTTTTTTTGCATTTTAATTTAAGTTTTTAATCTTGTAAAACTTATGGTTATAGGCAGTTGATCATGTCCTGGCATACATCCGGAAGCGCAGGGATGGTCTCCCGCAGTGTAGATTTGACTTCCTTGACGCCTCCTTTGTTGCTGAGCTCATTCGTAGCTACATGGAGTTTAATGCCTGCCTAGCTAAGGGTTCTTTCTCCTTCTCACCGTGTTTGCAGCAACCGTTTATAAAACGCCCTCAATGGTTCAAGAAGGTTGATGTCGTCTACGTTCCCGTGATTGTAAAGAAAATCTACTGGGTTGGTCTTGTTGTTGATCTCAATGTCTGGGCGATGTATGTTGTTGCATCAAACACCGCTTGTCCTTCCGAGTTAGATCTTGCTTCTGTGGTAACACCACTTTCGATTCTCCTTCCCCACCTGATAGGTCGGTACAGCAACTCTAACAAGGCGCAAGAACTCAATTTCGCACCCATGACTATTTCCCGTCTCGACATTTCTGCACTCGAAGAGCATCCAGGTCAGTGTACACGTTTATGTTCATTCTTCTATTACTAAACACTGTCAAGTCTTGATGTATTTGGCTTAAATAGGTTGTTCAGCTGTGGTGACCCTCATGTTGTTAGAGATGCATGCGGTAGGAAAGCCGATGAATTCTCTTCATTTCAGTGAAGAGCAGGTAAAGACAGCTGCAGAGAATTATGCAATTGAAGCACTTCAGCTGTGTCAGCCCGGTAAACTTCCTTGTGCTGAGTAGTGCGGAGTAGTACCTACTAGTTTCTTTTCCTTATATAAAGCTATGTATAATATTCCGTTCTCTGTTTACCTACAAACATCTATGTTCATTGCCAGGCTTTTCAGGTTTTTTTATTTAAATGAAATACAACTTATGTGTACTAGTAACTATTCCATCAACTAGTATTCTATTCCATTTACATTTTCACTATGTCTTACATATAGGATCTCAAACGAAATACCCTTCACAGTGTTCAGTAATTTTAGTGGAATAGAATATATATATAGAATAGCTCATTTTTACATATCATGTCATGTGGAACTGCTTTGGAATTTAGGTTTCATATGGTTTTGCCCATGGGTTTCCTCATCCATTGGGGGGGGGGGGGGTTTGTTTAGTTTTAAACATCGGGGAGGATGGGTATTGAAGATGTTGTCCCGCTTTCCTCTATGTTCCTTTGACGGCTTGTCTTATTCATGGTTGCTTTAAAGAATATAGACATTAATATCGTATACGGTATATGATAACCATATGTAAATTTAAGTTCCATGTTAACAGTTTGAAAAAAATAGAATAGTTGGAATGGAAATAGAATAGTTGTTTCCATGATTCCATAAGACGAAGATTGGCATCATTTCATTTACACAAAAGACAAGGCATGCAGCTGTTCCTTACAACAAACATAGTGTTCCTGCTTCGTGGGTTATATCTTACATACGATGTAACATGATAAATACACTCATATATGTATATGTACATATATGGGTGTATTTGTTAACAAAAGCAACATCTTCCCATTGTCTATATTATCATATAG